CCCTTAAACAGATTTTTCACCCCTCCAAATTTACTTTTTGTACTTCAATCAAGATTAGCAGTAATATCGAAAGTAAAGTACCCTCCCACCCCCCTCGGTGGCTCAGCATCCAAATTTACTTTTTGTACTTCAATCAAGATTAGCAGTAATAACGAAAGTTAAGTACCCTCCCCCTCCCCTCGGTGGCTCAGCATCCAAATTTACTTTTTGTACTTCAATCAAGATTAGCAGTAATAACGAAAGTTAAGTACCCTCCCCTCCCCCTCGGTGGCTCAGCAGGAAGCTTATAACGCTAAAAATCTGGTTTCGATCCCTGCGATGGGCACAGCCCAAATAGCCCGCTGTGCAGTTTAGCGCTTAACAACAAACAAACAAAAAAAAACTTTGAAAACTAATTTAAAACGTAGAAAATCAGATTCTATCGAGTAAACTACTGGAATATTTATTAAAGTATTTCCAATTAGAAACTCGAATATTTGAGTGTTTTTAGTCTAATCACCATTTGGAGCAGTGTAATGGGCAAATAAATTAAAGTCGTTAAGGTTCTCATAACAACACAATAAATTGAATAACGTTTTTATTCAAATTAGGAATAACGATGCACTTTTCCATTTTGCCCTGAAGAAGCTTGTTTGTAGCTGAGCACAAAGGAGCACCATGGGCTATCTGTGCTCTGCCCATCACGGGTATCGAAACCCGGTTTAAGGAGCGATATGTCTTGCCTTATAGAAATGTATTTGTAAAAAGTTATTTCTTTAACTGACCCGACACTTAAACGTTGGTGGATTTTCCATCTTCTTCCAAAAACACAAACAACAATTTTGATGAAGTTTTCTCAAACTATCCAACCCTTTCATTTTTATTTTATTTTTGGGGGCTTGTCTTGGGGGCTTGGCCAAATGGAAGTTAGATGTCCTGAGAAAATTACACCAAGACAAGCATTTGGCCAAGCCCCCAAGTTAGATGTCCTGAGAAAATTACACCAAGACAAGCATTTGGCAACCCCCAAGTTAGATGTCCTGAGAAAATTACACCAAGACAAAGTTTTTGTTTTTTCCTGCTATTATTCTAGAAGTTTCCAAACATTGGTTTTGGTAATATTCTTAAGCATAAAACCTGCTTTTTCTTCTTTGTTATTGTTGTTCTGGAGAGTTCCAAATTCTGGTTTGAATGAAATTTTCTAAGGTCATTTAAACCTTTTTTTTTGTTTTCATTTTGGAAGTTACCCAAAGCTGATTTTGGTGAAATTTTCTTGAACTATCTAACCTGTTATATTTTATTCTTGAAAAAAACAACAACAACAAAACACTCGGTATTCCTGCTTGAGATATATTTAATGCATTTATTTCATATTATAATAACCTAATATAGTAGCAGGGGTTGAAAGAAAAGATCGTATTACCGGTTACTGAACACTACTGATTTCCCCAAGCTCTTTCTTTGGAAATTATTGGTACCAGAAATGCCGGCTGTTTGCGAACCCCACTGATTTCCCTAAGTCCTTTCTCTGAGAATTGATCAGTCGTGGTGATATTGGTTGTTTTGTAGTAAGAGACAAAATGATCACCAGGTTAACTCAAGGTTATATATTCACTGATATCAGTACTCTGAAGTTTTGTTCGTCTTATTTTACCAGAAGTTAATTGTAAAGAACTGTTTCTTTTAAAAGTAAACTTGACAATATAATACAGCGCAAGGATACATTGAACTTTGATTGGGTAAATTTAACAGTAAGTATTATTATATATATTTTTTTGCAGTTTCAATGCATTCATTGTAGTTGACGTACCTGATGATTCCAGGTTAACCTGGTGAAACGTTTGTACTTTGATTAAATTTTACTCTTTTATCCGATTTATCAAGTTTACTTTTAATTACGACAGAGTACTTCCTTTCATCGTATTAACTGTTTCTTTTGTTGAACAAAATGCAAATTGTTATCATTACGATGCTATTATGGAAACCTAATATAAAATAAATTATTACTCGAAGTCCGGTAAAAAAAAAAAGTTTACCCTTTAAACTTTTGTGAAATGATAATATTATGATGACTTCTAGTTATAAAGTTACTTTATTCACTTCAGTTACTCACCATAGTGCTTTTACTATAACTGTATTTTATTCTATAATGTATCATTATACACAGACGGGTATCGAAACCCGGTTTCTAGCGTTGTAAGTCCGCAAACATACCGCTGTGCCACTGGGGGGCTTTGATGCATGTGACTACTGTGGGTTTAAGTAAATAAACTTACTATTATTTCTTGAACTTCGGAAAGTATTACACCTGGAATTATTTATATATGTAATCTCAACACAGTGGAACGAATACGTGAAGTACAATAACAGGATGAGTCGAGATGTACATACAACTAAGAATTGAAGGATTGTTTTTTTTTTGTTTGTTTGTTTTTTGGAATTTCGCGCAAAGCTACACGAGGGCTATCTGCGCTAGCCGTCCCTAACTTAGCAGTGTAA